TGAACTCGTCCTAATGTAGGTAGAGGTGGGGCCGGTACTAAGTTGCCTGCGGGTTCGGGTACTAGTGCAGGTACGCGTACAAGACAAGGGAAATTTGTAATAGGTAGACTACGGGGACACAGCTATACATATGTATGTTATGTATATTTATATGTATTAAAATTAATATTTACATAAGACCAATATTGTTTTTTCATTTACATAAGATCAATATTTAAGAAATAGATGTGTAGGATATAGGTCTAAGAAGTGTATGAAAAGCGTTCTAAACTAAAACATGTATTGTATAATTGAGTATACGCGTGAATGAACATACTGTATATCTTCAATGAAGTTCTCATGTCCTCTCCAAAACTAAACCATTGCCAGATTATCTACATTCTACACCAACAGTAAAAATAAAATCTGAGAGGCTAAAAAAACATGACAGTCATAAGAAGTGACATGCTAATTGTACTACAAAAAGTGTTTCTGAAGTAACTACTCAATTGCATTTCTAAGTTAAGTTTGATGTGTTATCAACTTGAAAGTTGAAATATAATCAGATAACATTAATTATTTAAAAAGTGGGCTCAGACTCCAGATTAGTATTACCATCATCAACAACAAACACATCATTGTGACTATTTTGTTCAAAACAGAACTAATGAGTGGCTGCAGCTTCTTTGCTACCTCGCCATCACAATTAGCCTCGGGTTATTAGACGTTTATCTCGAGTTACATCATCGCCCTAATTTGATGTTGCTTAAATTTATGAAAAAAAAAACATAAACGAACTATTTGACCCAATTTCCACACAGAGATCTTAAAATTAATTGAGGGAGGTTTGTACAATTTAACCTTTCATTCACAATCCCCATTTATAACGCCCGACTGTTGCATGTGGGGGAATGCTGGAGTCATGTTGCCCCAAGTTCCGATATTATTGCCTTGCCACCATAACAGGGCAACAAATTTCAACGTTAAAGGAAAAACTCCGCTTAATCTGGGGGAATTTCATGAAACCCCCATGAACTTTATAAAGATTTCAGATAGTCAGTGCTTAGAGCAAAGCTCAAGCAAATAAATAGTACCTGTGTTGCATCTTATGTTTTTCAAAATTAAAATCAAAGATGACGAACTAAATAAGAGACAGACACAGAATTCAGATTTGACTATACATGAAGGACAAATGCATGCAAGGTGAGAATATTTAGTTGGCTTAACATATTAAAAGAGAACAGGACGAACAAAGACATATTTTTATTTTAGAATCAATTTGGCAAAACATTGAGGCAAACTACTTCTAAGAGTTTCCTAAAGAGTATTTTTCATAAAGAAACTGATAAAAAATATATAGAACGGGCATACTTTTGAAGCACGATCCTGAACAAAACCACAATAAAATCCTTGATGAATTTGGTGCCGACTTCTTATAAACTAAAAAACCATAAAAAAAATTATAAAAAAAGGTGGCAATAGATCAACAAAGAACATTCTTTTATGGATACAATCATACAAGGCCAAAAATACTAAATGATCATCTTATTCTCTCCCATCATCAGATTAGTATTTTACTGATTATTGTAATCTTTAGTTCGTGATGTGGAATGGGCACTATGTAAACTACTTTGAATTGCATGATATGAGAGAATAGGCCTAACCATGAATATCTACAATTACGATATATAAAGAAGCAACTACTGGGGAACATTTTGACAATTACACATGGACTATCTATGTACATGTGGATGAAAAAAACACATTTGAAGCCGCAATAGGATTATCATAATAAAAATGTGCATTCATTATACCTAAATGCAAGCCGGGATCTGATACTAAATGTAAAGAATATATATGAAACAAACTTAGATCAAAAGAACATAAACTTTACCCATTGTCTAACCTTTAAAGTAAAAGACACAAGAGGGTGGAGGTGGAGCTGGTATTTAGATTGTGCGAATGACTATATACTCTTGTGACACCTCATAATCTCTGATCATGGAACCTGCATATCATCATCATTGAATTTCTCAGGTGCTCTCCTTCAAAACTAAATCATGCCAGGTTACTCATAGTAAAAATAAACACAGTGGATAAGAAAAGGTGTCAAAGAAAGTAAAATGTTAACTGTACTACAACTAGTGTTTACAAACTAACTACTGAATTACATTTGCATTTTTTTGAGGTTGAGGTGTTATTAGATTGAAATCAGCTCATAATGGATAAAATGTGGGCTCAGACTCGAGGTTTATATCATCATCATCATCATCATCACCGCCACCATCATCACCACCACCGCCACCATCATCATGATTATCATCATCATAACAGATAAGGGGGGTTACATGAAATTTACCCTTATTATTATTATTATTATTGTTATTGTTATCATTATTACTCAGAACAGAACTAAAAAATGGCTGCAGCATTTTGCTACCTTGCCATCTCAGTGTCATAGTTTATAATAACCATGAATCTCGAGTTACATCATTGCCCTGCCTTACATTGATGAACAGGTATGTTTATGCTAAAATAGAATCAAACAATTTGATAATTATTCGATCAATTTCCACACACAAAATTTAAGACTTAGAAATGGGGTTTTCCACAATTTAACCTTCCCTTTGTCGGTTCCTAATAATTAACAAACGCTGCAGTGCTTTGCTACCTCACCATACAAGTTAGGGTTTTTGGTTAATAGTAGCACGAAGGGAGGGAGGGAGGGAGAACAAAGGATGTTGATTATAGCATCAGGAATCTCAAGATAAAATAAAAATGGTGAATCATCAGCTATTGTATTTGTTATGGCCATTCATTTGTCACCGACTCAAGAACAAATTAGAATTACAACAAGCCACACATAAAGTGAGTAAAAATTCATTTACAAGCTATTTCTGTTTGTTCAAGACCTTTCTGTATTTAATTTCTCCTTGGGAATACCAATCTCAAGTGAAAATTAACACTGTTGCACATAGAGCTTCTATCCTAGAAATTGCTAAGAATGAGATTTCTGACATCAGTACATGGGCATTCAAGTGTACACATAAACTGAACCAATTTAAAGCAACAAATACTTTCGGCAGAACTTCCATAAGGTTTCTTCCAATGTAGCCAAGTACAGATCTAGTGTAAAACATGTCATAAAAGACAGACAATGAAGGAGCTGAAACTGGAAAATTGACAGACATATCACATACACATGACAACATTTTAAAATAAAACATATATATTTACAATGTAACATCTAATTATCTTTCATCTCCCATTCCGGATTTTCAGCTAACTGCAACATTAAATCTCCCATTTTACTAGCTACAGGAGGAAAAATGAAATGACTAAAGCTTCTGACATACTGTTCTCTCTTATATAATGTTGAACAGGCAGAAGGTAATAGCAACAAAAAAACAATAAATAAAATAAATAAATAAACTCCACTCAGGAACGTCTCAAATACTACTAAACCAAGTAACCAATTCCTAGAGTAGCTTGCAGCCATTATGCAGGCTAAAGAACTCAAATTTCTTAAAGAAAAACAAGATTCAGGGGTAAGTTTACAGTTTGAGTATTAAGAATGTTATGAACAGGTATGCCATTACTTCCGGGGATCTGAGAGAGGGAAAAATAATTGTGTTAAAACTAATAAGAGCAGGTGAGGAAAGAGTATTAACTAATCATATATAAATTCAACCTCGGGAAAAAAATTTGAGAAAGAGTAGGATGTATGTGTCATGCATGATTTATATGATATCTAATTCTCATAAACATGATTGTATATGCATGTCTGGTAATAGTAGCAATACACGTGTGAAAAAAAGATCTAAATTATATCTATTCCCCTGACTTACTGTTTTGTATATCTTCTATCTCTTAAGATTTCCAGCTCATACCCAATATCAGAACATGTGCTCTATGAGTGACTGCATGGGTGGGTGGGTGGCTGGATGCATGCATGTGTCTGCGCGTGTAGAGAGAGGAGGAGGAAGGGAGAGAGAAATGATGTGAGTTGACAACAAAGAAATTTCTTGCGCTACGAATATGTAACTCATTCTTCGAAGTAATTTGCAACATACATCATGCCGTACATGACGCCAAGGGATTGTGGATCACTAATCATAGGACTTGTGCATCATTTGACGATCCATCAAGTTGTTGTAAATTGAATACTTTCCTGTGAATAGAACAAGTTCGAAACTTTTGATGAATGCTCGCAAATGAGCTCTGAAATTCAAAGAATTAGTCATCCATGTGCCCTTGAGAACAAGTTGATCAATGAATGTTGTATATCATCCTCAAAGATGATTTACTTGTTCATTGAGCTCCTTTAGAAAAATAAAATTTTGCCATAAATAAACACATTTCCAATTTTCATGTGTGCATGTCTTCGTGTGTGTGTGCAGATGGCAGGCATGTGCGGGCAGCCACATGGCTTCTTGCGTACGTTCATGAGATGATTTACATGTTTGTTTAAGTTTCTTCAAGAAACTTTCCTTGAATGTAGAGAAAATTTTCGGTTTTCTTATATGCAGGTGGTTGGGTAGATGTGGGTGTGCGTTTAAGTGGGTGTCTGGGTGTATGCATGGTACATATGAGTTCGGGTGTGTCTACAACACAGGTGTGCGCGTTGGCCATGTATATACATGAGTGATTTGTGTGGGCATGTGTGCACGTGTATGTATTTGTGTGTACATTAACAACTGTGTGCGTCTTTGTGTGACAAAGGCATATGAGCCGCAGAATACCTTTGATAATAGATAGTCTAACCCAGACACGTATTATAACTGATTGCGGTCAATCCAGCTTCTGTGTAACCTGTGGGCGTACCTTTGGATTGAAGCTAATATACCCTGGCAATAGATGAAGTCTAACACAACCATGCATGAACCATATTGTGTATGTCTTGACTCTTTATTGTGACTGTGTGTGTGCGCGTGCGCATAGAAGGTATATGAGTTGCGGAATACATATACGCATACATGAGGCGGTCGTTTAAGTCTAACACAAGCATGCATAAGCCATATTCATACTGATTAACTGAGCATTTTGAGACAATCATGGATCATGTAGACCTGATGCTTCCATCTCCTAAATGAAAAACCCATGTATTGGCAAATCACTCAAGGTATCAACATTCCTTAAAATTTCCCCTAAAATAGGTTCAAGTAAAGCTAACATTTCAATTGTGGAAATAAGAGAGAAGGATGCGTCTTCAGATAAGTGTATGTCAATGACAGAACACGATCCCGAAACTTTAAGGCTTCACACCTTAAAACTCGCAGCCTTGGCATCATCCTCATCATCATCGTCAATCCATTATCTCAGGTGCTCTCCTTCAAAACTAAATCATCCACCGCAAGATAACACCCATAGGAACAGGATATACAAGTTCGAATTTGAGATGCTATCAGATTGATATCAGATAATGTTGGAATAAACTGTGGGCCTAACAAACAACATCATCATCATTGTAGACGACAGGTGATACCTGCACTTCACCCTTGTTATTATCATCATCATTATTGTTCAGAACAGACCAAATGAGCGGCTGCAGCATTTTTGCTACTTTGCCATCTCAGTTAGTGTCACGGTTTCTGAGAACCATGAAACTCGAGTTGCATTAAAAGACCATAAACTTCACTCAAAATTTAACATCTGAAGTCAAAGTCATAATGCAGGTGGATGTGGAGGTGGAGGTGGTACTAGCTAGCGGAAATGATAAAAATGAAGTGGCTTCGAATGATTATAAAAAAAGGCTTTCACACTTTCTCCAAGTAAACATGTGTCCCGGCCTTGGTATCATCATCATCATCTCAGGTGGTCTGCTTCAAAAATAAACCATTAATTGCCAGATTAAACACATAGAAACAGGGTCTACAAGTTAACAACTCGCTTTCAGATGCTTAGTTTGAGCAATATCTTTTGCGTTAGCTATCAAAATTAAAATCTAAAGAGCTCATGTTAGATAGATAATGTGGGCTCAGACTCGAGAGTTATATCATCATCATCATTGACAACATCATTGTAGAATAGGGATTTCTTAAATTTACCCTTATTATTTATAAATAAGGGTGTTTTGGATTTAGGAATGTTTTTAGAAGTAAGTGTGTTTAAAAATAAATGGGAGTAAAACTTTGGGTCTGTAGGCAAGAAACCCTATCATTACTCTTACCAACGATTGTTCAGAACAGTTGAATAGCTGCAGCACTTTTGCCGCCTCGCCATTTCAGTAGCATCGTGGTCTACTAGAACCATGATCTCGAGTTACATCATTGCCCAGCTTTCATGTTGATTAAGTTTATATACAAAAGCAAACTATTGATAATTATTTGATTAACTTCCACACTAAAGATCTCAAGAATCAGAGAGGAGTTTTCTGCAGTTAACCTTTCCTTCATGGATTCCCATTCGAACGAGCCTGGTCGGTCGATTTACGTCAGGTCGGTCAGGCCTCGTGGCCCATGGTCAAGCCCTGTCGGTCGACATATGTCAGTCCATTCAAGCCCCATGGCCCGTGGTTGAGCCCCAGCCGCTGTGTTGTCACCTCCCCTCGCTGGTCAGCCCCCATGGCTTGTGGCCAAGGCCCCTAGGGCGACGTGCACAACCTCTATTGCACAGCCCCTGCATGCAATGCACAGGCCCCTCACACACTGGTGTGAGCCCTCTGCTGCGATGTGTGAGGGCCCTCACACATGGTGCGCGAGCCACCACGCACGCGGTGGTCGAATGGCTCAGTGCCAGACCCAGTCAGAAGCTATTAAGTCATGTAGACCTTAAGATGTTCATCCAGAGATAGTTTGGACCTCAGGAGCTCATCTTGGGTCCACACTTGCTAAACTTTATTAGGTGGCATGTGTATGGTCCATTTGTGGTGATGTGTTGGCTTGAGGATTGTGCATGCTGGGTGGGTGGCTTCGGTCTGGGGACTGTGCCTCACACACATGGTGGCCTGCTAGCCTGTGGTCATTGTCTCGCGTTAGAAAACCCCTTAAATCAGCAATGACAGTTTACACGCATAGAAACATGATCCACAAGTTAACTAATTTCAGATGCTTAATTTCAGACTGAAATGTATTTAGCTAACATTGCATAAATGTTCACTCAGACTCTAGATTTGCATCATCATCATCATCATCATCATCATCATTATAGATGAGGGGGGTTATCTGAAACCCTTATTATTAAAGTTAAAAATGGTGAAACTTTGGAGTATAATTCGGCAAATATAAATTTCAGAGCACCAAGATTAAAATAGATGAACCTTTACGGTAGTAAAGGGCAATTAACCCTTATTATTCAGAACAGAACTAACGAATGGCTGCAGCATTTTTGCCACGTTGCTATCTAAGTATCATGATCTACTAGAACCATGAATCTTGAATCACATCATCACCCACCTTTAATGTAGCTTAAATTTAAGTGGAAGGTAAAAAAAACTATTTAAGAATTATTAGATCAACTTCCACATGAAGATTTTCAGATTTAGCAAAGAGGTTTTCTGCAATTTAACATTTCGTTTCCCTTCGTCGATTCCCAAATGCATAACAAGCGGTGTTGCTACCTTGCCATGCAACTTAGAGAAAGGGATGGGGGGATGAGGGGAGGGAGGGTTGTGGGTGGGGGTGGGGTGGGGGAGGGGGAGCATGCATATTACTGGAACAAGGAAGTGGGCAGACATCATTGATTCCCCTTGCCCTGAATTCTGTTATCGTTGCTTGTCAAATATAAAAGGGAAATAAATTTCACAAAACCTCCTGACTTTGAAAATAAGAGAAACTCGCCTAAAATTTGGGGAGTTTCCACTCCCCGCCCCCCCCGCCCGTCCCAAAGCACGAACCTTGTCAAAAGGTGTAAGTTCGTTAAATATGCAAATATTCAGTGTCTACAGCAAAGCTCAAGCAGATTAAAAAATAAATATGTGTGTTGCATCTTTTCCTTTCAAAATTAAAAACTGAGATCAGCAACTGAAATCAGAGATAGCCGCAGAACTGACACTTGGTTATGACATGAAGCACAAATGCATGACGGGTTAGCTATTTGGTTGGTTCAAGACGTTAAAAGAGAAGCAGAAACAACAAAATTATGTTTTTCTTTTAGAATCAAATTGAAAAGACATTGAGGTAAACTACTTCTTAGAGATCCCAAAAGTGATAATGGACAGTATACATGGAAAGAGCATACTTTTGATGCAAGATCCTGACAAACCACAGAAAAATTCTTGACGAGTCTGGCTCCACAATCAGGGAGGCAAGAGATCAATAACACCCATCATCAATGAATTTGTCAGGTACTCGCCTTCAAAACTAAATCAGCACAGCCATGTTACACCCATAGAACAATTATCAAGAAAGGGGCTACCAAAAGAGGATATGTTATAGGACAGTGTTTACAAAGAAACTACTCAATTTCAGATGCTTAGTTTGAGTTTGAGGTGTTATAGCATTGAATCTAATCACCTATGCTCCATAAAATGTGGGCTCAGTCTCGAGATTTATATCATCATCATCATCATTACAGATGAAGGGTTCATCTGAAATTTACCCTTATCATTATAATTATCATTATTAGAAACAACGCTGCTAAACTCTTGGTTTATAAAACTAATTTTCACATAGGAGGTCTGTCTGCAATAATAGAACTATAGGAGGTCTATCCACAATTGGGCGACAGTACAGACTACAGAGGGTCTAGCCCCATCGTACTTCTTATCAATTACTGTTCAGAAGAGAACTAACAAATGGCTGCAGCTTTTTGCTACCTCGCCATCTCAGTTAGGGTCACAATTTATTCGAACCAGGAATCTCGAGTTACATCATTGCCCTACTTTAGAGGCTGCATGGTTGTAAGGGAATACAGCTACATAAAGTAAATACTACAGAAAATTTTATATTCCAATTGTTTGACTCACAACATCGTAATGGGGAAAGGTAGATGCACTTAAAATTAAAATTGTACAAAACTGAAGCAAATGTTGCAACCAACTAGTCAGACAAAACAATGCAGTCTCCAAAAAGATAAAAATATAAAAAATAATCCCACCTAATCTAAATAACATTGCCTATTCCAAATAAAAAGACCATCTACACCCGTGTTCCACCATGCAATAGAATCCCGTAGCTTCTCTACCAATTGTTTTTCAATCAAACACCAAATTTGCATTGGAATTTACATGTCGACAATTAAATACAAACTGCAAATATCTAAACAATGGATTTGAAGTTGATTTCCTCAACAAATGTTGCTGCAACATTTGTTGCCACACCGTTTGCTAGAATTTATTTTTGCAGAAAACCGAACAACCCTTAATGTTGATTAAATTTATGCACAAAATATCAAACTATTTAATAGTTTTTCGATCAACTTCCACGTGAAGATCTTAAGACTTGTGGGGGTTTTCTATAATTCAACCTTTCCTCAGTAGACGTCTAATTTCTAACAAGTGGCTGCAGTGTTTTGCTACCTAGACGTACAAGTTACCATTTGCAGTAATTGTATTGCAAAGTGTGCATGTGNGACCATAGCTGGGCACCAGAGATCAAGTAGCCAGTGACCATAGTTTGCCAAACGTCCCCAAAATGTGGGCTCAGACTCTAGATTTATATCATCATCATTACAGATGAGGAGGTTACCTGAAACTAGCCTCATTATAAGAATATTTTGGATTTAAGAATGATCTGGAAGCAGGTGGGTTTAAAAATAAATCAGGCAAAACTTTGGGTTTTATAAACAAAAGGTCATAACAACACTAATGAAAGGCTGCAGCAATTTGCCACCTCGCCAACTCAATAGCGCCACGGTTCATCAGAACTATGAATCTTGAGTTCTGCCATTGACTCACTTTAATGTCGCTTAAAGTTATGCAAAAAAAAGCAAATTAATTGATACCTACTTAACCTTTCATTTGCCAAGTTCCCAATTTCTAACAAGTGGCTGCAACATTTTGCTACCTTGCCATACGAGTTAGGATTTGGGTTTATTGCATTACGATGTGTGTGTGAGAGAGAGAGAGAGGAGTGCATGATTTACCACCCAAGGAAACAGTAGCACTGCTGGAGCCCACATGATATTCAAGATTTGAGGGACTAATACCAAAATAATAAAATTGTAAGGGACTAATATCAAAAAAACCCAAAAAATAAATTGGGGTAAAACTGTGGGTTTAAAACAGAAACCCATAAAAGAACTAATGAATGGCTGCAGAATGTAGCTACCTTGCCATCTCAGTTAGGTGAAATTGGTTTATTACAACCACGGTACCACTAATCTCGAGTTTCATCATCGCCCAACTTTGGTATCACTTATATTTATACGAAAAAATAAAAAACTATTTGATAACTATCAGCTTAACTTCCGCATGAAGATTTTAAGTTCTTGACACCCTGTCCAGAAAAGGGATGGGATGAAGGGGAAGGAACGGTTCACCTTTTTGAGAGGTTTGTGAAATTAAAGTTTTTTCTTCATCGACTCTCCCAATTTCTAACGAGCGGCTGCAACGTTTGTCGGCCTGCCCGTAGAAGTTATAGGCTATTGGAGTTTATAGCATCCCAATAAGGGAGAGGTATATATATATATAATATATATATATATATATATATATATATATATATATATATATATATATATATATATTATATATATATATTATATATATATATATATATATATATATATATTATATATATATATATATAATATATATATATATATATATATATATATTATATATATAATATGTGTTGTGTGTGTGTGTGTTGTGTGACCAAACTCGTCGCGTTTGTGTGTAGTTATGTTACATGTTACAGAGAGTGTAGGGAGTGAATTACCGACGCAGGAGGCAGCGGTGGTTGGCAAGGCCCACACAGATTAACAATTTGAGGGACTAATTTCAAAATATCAAAGATTTGACAGACTAATATAAAAAAACCGAAAACATATCAGGATAAAACCCCCTAACAGAACCAAGGAATGGCTGCAGCACTTTTCTACCTTGCCATCTCAGTTAGGTGTTATTGCTTATTACAGCCACGAATCTCGAGATACGTCATCATCCAACTTTGATGTTGCCTAAATTATTCAAAAAAGAGTTATTTGCACTTAAATACTCAAGTTCACAGAATTTCTAACATTTCTGACATTGATACCCTGAGGTCTTTTTTTCTCAAAAAGCAAGCGCAAGGCCACGAAAAGCTTAAAAACTTCTAAAAATAAGCCCCCCAAACACTCTTAAGGAACCAAAAATCAAAATGGTGAAAAAACAGTGATAATCATATCAACTCCAGAGTGGAGATCTCAAGGGTTAGAGAGGTGGTTCCTGCAATTTGACCTTTCCTTTGTTGATTCCCAATTTTTAACAACCAGCTGCAGTGTTTTGCTGCCTCCCTGTGCAAGTTAGGGTTAGAGTTTATAGCATTAACAAGAGGGAGAGGGTGACAAAGGTTATCTGATAATCGTCCAAAGTTAAAAGAAGTTTTTCTGATGTTTTGAAAGTTATGGGGGTTATTTGATAATCATTCAAAGTTAATGGGGGTTTTCTGATAACC